AATCAAAAATTGTAATAGTTAACCTTTGCCCAATTAGAGCAAAATCAGATGTTTCAGGAAAATCTCAAATTGTAAGGGGTGAACCTTGCATTTTTAGCAAAATTGGGCAAAGTTAGATGTGAATGAAAAATGTCAGATTGTAAGGGGTTAACCTTGCTTTTTTAGTGATATTTGGCAAAATAAGATGTGAATGAAAAATTTCAAATTGTAAGGGGTTAACCCTGCTTTTTAAGTAAAATTGGGCCAATTTAAATGTTTATAAAAAATGTCAAATTGTAAGGGGTGTACCTTGTATTTTTAACGAAATTGGGCAAAATCAGATCTTTCTGGACAATTTCGGATTGTAAGGGGTTAACCTTGCTTTTTTAGTGATATTTGGCAAAATAAGATGTGAATGGGAAAAACTGGGCAATATCAGATTTTTATGAAAAATCTCAATTGTAAGGAATGAACCTTGCATTTTTTATCAAAATTGGGCAAAATCAGATGTGAATGAAAAATGTCAGATTGTAAGGGGTTAACCTTACATTTAAGCAAAATTGGGCAAAATCAGATGTTACCGAAAAATTTCAGATGTAAGGGATTATCCTTGCTTTTTTAGTGAAATTTGGCAAAGTTAGATGTTATGAAAAATTTCAAATTGAAAGGGGTTAACCTCGCATTTTTTTAAAACTGAAAATAAGAAAAAAAATTAAATGTTTCTGGAAAATTGCAGATTGTAAGTGGTTAAACCTTGCTTTTTAAATAAGATTGGGAAAAATTAGATGTTCATGAAAAAAATTCAAATTGTAAGGGGTTAACCTTGTAGAATGTTTTGACGGTACCGGTATAAGGTCGGATGGGTTTAGGACTATTTACCGGTATGCGCCCATAGGGGGTGTTGGGGAGGGCGCTCTTTGGCACGCCCTCTCCAAAAACATGTTTGATGAATATTCTCTTGGACCATTAAACCAGAAAAGCACTGGTACGCTAGTTTTCAACAACAACAACAACAACAACAACAACAACAACAACAACAACAACCTAATGCTTCATTTTAGCATGGCCTGGGCTTTAGCGGTCCGAATTTAGAACGATGCTGTATAGGTACATTGTTTACTAGGCATGTCTACGCTGTCCTTCACAATATATTATTAAATGTCAAAGGATAACACATTTGCTACTTTAGGCTTCAAATGCTTGTGTATTCGTCCGAATGTGACAAGTTATACTAAGCACAAGCGGCTCACAAACATATTTTTTTATCAAAAATACTTGTGAAAACCTCTTCACCAAATAGGTTACTTTCTGCCTCCAATTAAATCATACAATGATTCGTGCCCATGACCATGATTGCAGCGATCGCAAAGCCGCAAATCTCAAATCGGTGTTTTGAAGTTGCTGTCCTCGTGATTAAAACAATTAATTTTTTTCCCTACGTACCTTCACTTTATTTAGTTTATAAAACAAAACCTATTTTTTCCCCTATCTGTTGGGCGTCTACATCCTTTCGTAAAAAGTATTTCTTTTTATCCAACTTGCACGTGCCTGGATCCTCAAAAAAAAAAAAAAAAAAAACAAAAACGGACCCTTTGAATTGCGCCCTCAATATTATGTATATATGCGGTATCTTATTAACTTTTGCTCTAATTGGGCAAAGGTTAATAAAATACCGCATATTAACAAAATGTTAACAAAATGTGTGCCTTTAACAAAAAAAAAATTAACAAAATGTGTGCCTTTAGGCCAAAAAAAATAAGTCTCCGGTTTCTGGTATGGAGCTTGTCCAAAAGTGGTGCGGCGACGCGGCTTTTTTTTTTTTTTTACCTGATTTTTTTGCTTCAAATGTCGGCTGATGACTGCAAATGGTGCCCGACTAAACTTAGTGCAAATATATGGTAGTCCAGAGAGGCCACATAAAGCTTATTCTCGATCATAACCCTATCTAAAAACACATTTAAATTGTGCAGTAGCAGGATTCCAGTCAAACCAGTGAGTTTGGCTGCATGTTCGGGCGCCTCTACCTGGGTCTGGGGGCAGGGTCTCCCACATCCCATTTTAAAGCATGTACTTGCATTTGCATGAATAAAAATGAACCAAGAGTATTTACTTGTACTTGTCAGCTTTTACGGGCTATGACCGCGGGGTTTTGGACAGCGTCGTTTACTTTTTACATTTTTTCTTATTCCCTCTTCCTTTCCCCTTTCTTCTCCATTCTTCATTTTCTATTTTGCCGAATGCTCACAATTAAAGACACGTTATTTGAAAGATGTATAAATAATATTAATATTACCATGTACATCATTATTCTTTCCCGGTATAATTTATGGCGTTTCTTACGTCAATTGGCAATCGCGTCATTATATAATAATAGTCAAATTGATCAAATGAAACTCCGTTTTGATTATAGTCAATTATGAAATATTCATTGATTTAGACATACACCTTTGTTTCAATTTTGATACTACCCGTAGACCTGCCGAGCAGCTGTAGATATCAAACTAAACCATAGTATAAAAGATAGAGGGTAAAAAAAATCAAAAAGTTATGTGCTAGTCAAGCTTTCAGGGATCGGTCTGAGCCATAACAATGCCCCAGCCGATCCCTTAGTTCTCTTCCGGGGTCTCGGCGTCCCCGACCAATACACACTTCCTTCCCTGTCCATCCATATAACCCAGGAGGGCCAGGCACCATGTAAAAGCAAAGAGCTAAGGGAGGAACAGGGCGGCCCCTAAGCCCTGATCCTCCGAGTGGACCACATGCCCTGAATCTGTACGAAGGCGCCAACCTGGAACTCGCGGACAGTACCAGCAGCAGTGCTTACCGATTAAGCTAAGGTACTGTTGGTACTTTACGACGGGAAATTAAATCTCTTATAGTAAATGATTGAACTCATACGTTAAAAACCAAAAAGACACCAGCGGGATTCGAACCCGGGACCCCGCTAACTGTGGACGACGAATCGTAACCATTCGGCCATTTCGTTACCTTAGAATTTTCCTTAAACTGAGAAAAGTTGTCTTTATAGGTGAGCAAACGCGCCAGGAAGATTACTGGGTCCATTTGCTTTACCTCAATGAGTACAAACAAGTCGATATAATGAGCCCAGTGTGTTTGGTTTGTTAGGAAGCTGAATAACACAGCCTAATGTGCAAAACAGTCGTGTGCTAGGCGGATCATTACGCAACAATGAACACCGCAATTGTGTATTTTCAAACGGCAGACGCGTAGATTTCTACTCTTTGTATCTGGGCACATATAGATTCTCACCTCCCTCTTCAGCTATTTCGACTTTCTTAAAAAGAAAAATAGAGACTGTCTGCGAATTTCCGGGAGTTGAAATAAGGATCGTCCCCTCGATAGACCTCAGACTCAGTAAAGTTCAACATTGGGCTCTTTTCAACAGCTGTTTTTGCGGAAACTTTACATCTGGATTTTTTAGACGCATCTGATTTAGCCCAATTTTAGTAAAATATGCTCCAAATTTTGCTAAAAAAGCAAGGTTAACCCCTTACCATTTTAGATTTTTCATACAAATCTGATGTTGCCAAATTTTACTAAATATACAAGGTACACCTCTTACAATTTAAATGTTATCATAAACATTTCTTTTTGCCCAATTTTGCTAGAAATACAAGGTTAAGCCCTAACAATCTGCAATTTTCCAGAATCATCTGATTGTGTCCTATTTTGCTAAAAACAAATGCAAGGTTAACCCCTTACAATTTGAATTTTTTTTCATTAACATCTAATTTTTCCCAATCTTATTCAAAAAGCAAGGGTTAACCCCTTACTATCTGCAATTTTCCAGAAACATTTGATTTTTTCCCATTTTCGCTTTAAAAAAATGCGAGGTTAACCCCTTTCAATTTGAAAATTTTCGTAACATCTAACTTTGCAAAATTTCACTAAAAAAGCAAGTTTAATCCCTTTATTATTACATCTGAAATTTTTCGGTAACATCTGATTTTGCCAAATTTCGCTAAAATATGCAATGTTCACCACTTACAATTTGAAATGTTTCATAAACATCTAACCCCATACAATCTGCGATTTTCCAGAAACATCTGATTTTTCCCGATTTTGCACAAAAATGCAAGGTTAACCCCTTACAATTTGATTTTTTTTTCATAAACATCTAATTTTGCCCAATTTTACATTCAGCTGATGCTAACAAATTATCAGGTAACTGTATCATTAAACGGGACAGGTGCACATCGGCCTTGGAGCTCAGACCATGTGTCATGCCCTCCTCATTGCATAGATGATGCACATAACACTGCCCAAACAATGATGAACGCATTGCGTATGCTTAAAGAATTACCCACAATTCCGGTTTTTACCGTTTAGGTCTGGCTCTAATCACTTTACGCAATCCCCTGACGTCTCATACACTGACTTTAGGCAAAATAGTCAGACTTTCGCGGTCTAGTAGCCAGACTTTGACTCTTAACGAAACATCGAATGAAAAGGGAAACATCAAATGCATATTGCAAAAGATCGAATGCAAACATACCGATGAAACATCGATTACAAATAGCTCGAAATGTCAAACATATGTGTAAAACATTGCTCACATATTTGAGAATATCGCAAATATATTGTAAACCAACACACACAATTTTATCGAGAAACATCGCACATTTAATTAAAAAAAATCGAACATAATATTGAAAACATCGCACATATATATCGTCAAAAACATCGCATATATAAATTGAAAATCGCATATAAATGTAAAACATCGCACACATATATTGAACATCGCACATATATTGTAAAACATCGCACAAATATATTAAACATCGCGCAAATAATGAAAAACATCGCACACTTATATGGAACATCGCACATAAATGTAAAATATAACAAGCACATATTGAACATCCAACATATATATTGCAAAATATTGAATATTGCAACGTTTCACACACCATAGAGGTCAGGCCCTATGGGATTTTAATCAACAAAACTGTTGACTGAAGGTCTATTCTTTTCTTACATGATTGACGGGTCACTGAGCGTGGAGACCAAGGTTGAACTTTGTTTCCATTTACTTTGGACTCCATTTTCAAAAGGCAGGAAAAGGACGCGTTGACACAGCATCCTGAATCACAGTGCACACAAACCTGGCAAGGTTTTGCAATTTGCACAGACATCGCAGCCCGAGTGCACGTAGGTATAGGAAAGTGCCGCTGCTAGTGAGCTAGGCCCTACTGGTTTTGCCCGACTAATATCTCTCGAAGCGACTAAAATGGCAAGTTTCATCTTCAAGGCAGCGTTGTTTGTTGTGAGTGTGGTGCTGCTTCAACGACTGATGAGATTTGCGTAAGCACGTTTACAAAATTTGACGATTTGAGTCTATACTAAACAAAATTATTAAAATGCCAGCGCTTGTATTGAATATGTATAGGCTATGCCAGGAATAGGGACGATTATCATATCATAATAGGCTATGGACTATGCATGCTGCATGCATGTTAAAGGGAATGTACATTATTGGCTTTCGCTGTAATTTTCAGAAATGAACTATTTGGGGGGTTAGTATAATAAATCAAATATTGTTACACTGACATGTTTGAAGTTTTGTGTTCGAAAATCTGGAAAACCAAGAAAAACAAAAATGTTCAAGTAAGTCTGGTTCCCTGACTCCACTAAAGATGAAATGGATCTAAAATGCCGGAAAATTGTAAGGTAAGGGAACCAGTCTAGGTGGCCTGCACCTTTTCATGAACATGCAACCTGAAGAAACCTAGTAAATTTGGACCAGTAGTTGAAAAACAGTTAGGCCGACCACCGTTGGAAATTATATACAAAAATACCATTTAAATGACTTTACACCAGGTGCCCTAATTTTACAGGATGATTTAGACTGTCATTTACCAACATCCTAGTAAGGTATTCCGTAACAACTTGGTAGTTTTATTTTTCGATGTTTGCAAATGTTGTATTTTTCCTTTAAAGGCAGGGGAATGTTACATAATCCCATGACTGCGCAAATAACCCCATTCCCCATCCCCAAAAGGATGCTTATCAAAATATATATTATAAGAGGGAATAAAAATAATGCAAAATTTGCGACGAAAAGTCTCACCACTTCTTTCCCATGATTTCCCTTTTAGAATCATCATGGGAGTGCATAGGCACATGTTTAACCATACACCAGGACCCTGCCGCACCATCCCGGGGATAGGTGAGGAGAACCGTTATTAACCCGTTTACTAGATATCAATGAATATTTATTTCAAATCATATATGCACAAATCGTAATTGATACTTTGTACAGCGTTGAAACAATCATCACGAATTCTTCCTTTTATTTCATCAGATGTCGGCTCCGAAGATATAACGACGTTGTCAAACGGTGTCGCCATTATCACTTCGGTTTGTTCTCTATATATATACATTGTAGGCCTATATATATATATATTTTAGAATGATGTCATAAGGTAACTCTGTTATGATAATAATAATACAAATTGAACTGATGAACATTGCAAGTTTCGCCCAGTTTCAGATGGTTATGACTTAAAACGGCGCATAACGGCACCTCACCAAGAAATGAGGAACCGATCGGAAGATAATTATATCTCAAATTTAACAAGGCTCGAAAAATAACCCTTGCCCCCTTGTTACTACCCAAGGGCGTAGCCATTATCGAGGCTGAAATGGACACGATCCAAGGCCGCATCTTCTCCTTTGACTTCAACCAACCGGACAAGGCCGTGAAGGAGGTCAAGATTACGGGAAGTTCCTTCAATAAGACGGCCTTGAAGCCAGTGGGAATGAGCGCCTGGGAAGACCCCCAAACGGGTACGTTTCTGTAATAATTATACTGTTAGTTTATATATGCATCAACATTTATTTGCAATTGTTCGAGCATTGCACGGTTAGAACTAGCCCCAGTCTATGGTCAATCACTGGACTAAATTCCAAAGCACAAAGTTGAGTCTAAGTTGTGAGGTCCATCACGAGGTGCACTCCTGTAAATAGGCCCAAAATCCATGCGCCGAGCTCATGAATAAAAGCTATACCCTCAAAATATTCTATATTAGAGAGTTCCGACAGCCATAAATATGGGGAATTGAAGAGATATGATAATGAACCTCTGGCCCGGACTTGGGGCTTCCAATTCTGAGCATTTTGGATGCTATTTGGGCTCAAAAGCGGCGATATTTTGCCACGTTGTGGAGGTGGCTACTTTTCCGCTTTGAAGAAAATAGGGGTCGTCTTCTTTGGGTGAGAATATCTCGAAACGTCAATAGTCAACCCATCAAAAAAAAGAAAAAAAGAAAATGAAAGATAACATGTTGATCATCATTTTTCTGCGCAGCTTGAATACATGTGAGAGTTCTGAGTATTTATAAAAGAATTTTGAAGTATGGGCATTTAGCACTAGTGTCTATGGGTATTTTATTGCAGGGTTGCACCCATAGACTTGGGCAAGGTTAGAACGCGCGGATGAGTTCTTTTATGAACCTAAATTCGAACCTGTAGTTGCAAGCTAGACTGGTTCCCCCATACACTGGAAATCAGAACTTGGAACCAGTCTACATTCAAACCAGTCGGAACTTAGGAGGGCGCTATGTAGATAGGTTGACAGGCTGTTTCCGAACCCGCCATTTTATATATTTTAATGAAGTAAAACAAATTGAGTTTTGAAATAGAGACACGGATTTCAGCCCGAGATTGTCTCATTTTTTCCAGGCAAAGTCTCCTTGTTTGTGGTCAACAAACCGCTACCCCCAAGAACACAATCAGTGGAGTTGTTTGACTACGACCACAAATCCAACACGCTACGTCACAAGAAGACTGTCATCAGTGACGCGATCTTTTCGTAAGCATGACTCATTTTTCCATTTACCTTGTCTTTATTGGCTTCGGGCCTAGTGGATCTTTTGTCGCCTTCCACCTCTAGCGAACCAGTTCACAATCACTAATCGGTATGAAAAAAAGTGTAGATTACCGATTGACCGTAAAAAAAAAAATATTGTTCGTCTGCAAAGTTTAAATGTTACCAAGCCAATTTGCATAACTTATGGGCTAAACAACACATATAAAGGGAGGAATTTCTTTGAGGAGTGGACTGATAATGACAATAAATTAACGTTAAAACAATGCACGTTGGAAAGTTAGTAACACCAAGTACTTGATATATATATCCATTAAGCCTATTGCTATTTCACAACCGGGGGTTACGTATTGGATACAAGTGAAACAAAGTATGTAAACGAGGTTGACCTACTCAGTAATGTCGTCGTAATATCAAGTTTTTTCTTGCACCGAGTAAGTAAGCCCAATTTTCCGTTATCAGAAAAAAGTCACATATCGTAACGATTTGATGTGTCCATCTCGGTCTTGCTTACTTCCCATAGCCCCAATGACGTGATAGCCGTGAGTGCAGACACGTTTTACGTCACCAACGATATGCGCTTTGGTCGCCTTGGGCCTCTAGAGGTCGTCCTAACCCTTCCCACGGGAACTGTTGCTTACTACGACGGGTCTGAGGCTGTACAAGTAGCCAGCGGCTTATCTGGGGCTAACGGCATCAGCAAATCACAGGATGGCAGGTAGGCTTAATTGGTGTAAAAAGGCTTATACGGGCATTTATGGATCATTTGCTTTTCACGCATTTTGTTCGAAGGTTCCCATAATAATACGAATCAAAATCCGACCAAGAATGTTCCAAACCTAACCTGTTGAAGTTTCAGCTCCGTGGAAATGATACTTTTGGAGAAAACAGTGAGAAACTATGCACAACCTTTTGATCACGAAACACGATCTCTGGATCTTGTCCTATTTCTGGTTTTTGTCCATCAGAAATTTCGCCCATAAAGCATTGTTTAAAAAAAATCAGTCTAGTTGGAAATCACATACATTTCTTGATTTCTTCTAAATGACTAGAAGACAAACGGAATAATTTCACGGGGTGTTTAGTACCAGTACCAGTAGAATCGTCAATCCAAGTAAGCTTTTGATACTAATTTGGCAGGCTACTTTTGGGATACATTCAAACGATACTGTAGGCTATATGCCTTTAATAAAAAAGGAAATGCTGTGATAAAATCCAGCTGCCATTTTTATGAAATACATATTCAAGCACAAACATTTGCTCAGTACTGACATTTCATGTGTTTGGTAAGCAGAAAGGGTTACAATGCCACGTGACACATACTACTCTTGATTGGTTCACGGCAAATATTTTCCCTTGGTATATAATTTTCTGAGCAAAGCTTAGCAAGTCCGTGACATTGGGCTCAGGTTGTTTGCAATTGTTGTTCTCCATTTACTTTACCATTTTCTGAATAAATAAGCTTAGCTTCTGATTTCAAAGGTTTTGTTTGGTACTTGTTCTATGTGACATGCTGCAGGTACATCTATGTTTCTGGACTACTGGACGCCCAGCTTAATGTTTTTGAAAGAGGCAAGGACGGTCGAGGTTCACTGCTGCTCCGCAAGGCAAGTTGAAATCGGACCACCAGACACTGCAAATAAACGATATTTCTCAATTCTATACATTCCGAACTTCTTTGAACATGCCATTGTATTAATTGTTTGGTTTCCAGAAAATTGACGTGCACACGTCAGTGGACAACATCAACGTCGACAAGGCGGGCGACCTGTGGCTTGGCTGCCATTACCTGGGGTACACACTTGATCTACTGACTGGAAATAGGTGGACGGGAACCGCTCAGGTACGTGGGTACCAGCTAGTTATATGAACCTTCTTTTATATGGCAAATCACGAAACCATTATACAAATTTTTGAAGATGTCAAATTGTGGTTATGCTTATGTAATACCTGTTGTTATGCTTACCGTTATGCACTATTGATGACGTGGATAGGAGTGAATTAAATTTTACAACACTTTACATTGAAGTTTGATAGCTGTTTTCCTGCCGATATTCTTACCTTCCTTGTAAGAGTTATTTATTTATTGTGTTTCCGTTTTCAGATCAAACAATTTCTTTCATCGAATAGCATTAGATAAAATGAAAAACAAATTCCCCAAAAACTTTCTGAATAGCGCAAAATGCTTAATGTAAAGGCACACGTGAGATCTCACAGTCATAATAGTAACCCCGTCCCTTACCATCTTACCCTGTTGTTAATGAACCTTTATCCAGATGTTTGAAAACAACTCAAAATGTCTCATACACTCAACCAAAAAAGTTAGTCCCCCTTCCATTACTTTTTTGCCTAACTCCAAAACTACTGAGCACCTCTCGCTCAAATAAGTTCAAAAGTTCCTTAGCAATCCAGCCATACTCTTTATTTGGCCCAAACCAGTGATAATGTGTACGAATTTATGCAATTTCATGACAAATGATACCGAAAACAGTTGCACTTTTGTATACGTGCAAGTTGTGGTTCACACTCACCTTGCACGTATACAAAAGTGCAACTTTTTTTCGGTACCATTATGTTATACATTGCATAATTTTGTAAGCATTATAACTGTTTTGGGCTGAACAAATTGGAATTAAGGAATTTCTGTACTGATCAGTCGTAATTTGAGCAAGATGTGCCCAGTAGTTTTTGAGTTAAACAAAAAAGTATTAAGAGGGGACTTTCTTTTTTGGTTGAGTGTTGCTCAGTGCTTATAAGACTTGTCCTCGAGAGAATCCTCAGTAACTGTCTGCCTTTGTTACTATATAGGCCTATACATTATTTTGTATATATTATTTTGCGAAATTTCCTCATCATGTAGGTCTTAAGGATGCGTCTTGATGCGGACCTGAACCCCGATGTACGGGAGGTACTCGCTGACGACGGCAAACTACTCAAAGGCTCAAGCGTGGCCAGCGTCTACGGAAACAAGATGCTGGTTGGAACGATTACCAACCAAATGATACTGTGTGATCTCATTGCTTTCTAGATGAGCAGATAGATATTGACCTTTTGCACAAGCAAATGTGCTCTCTCAATGGTGGAAAAAAAATCAATATTGACGGACCCTAAGTTTGCCTGGAACACTCTGGTACACCATGTGAACGAGAGATTGGCACACTCAATTAGGTTAGATACTATCTATACACACGATGTTAGGATTAACAGTAGGAACATTTGCAATTACCGATTTAACGAGAAAATAATTGCTCAGAGTGAAGACATGACTGGTACCAAATATCCTCTGAAATATTCTACCTGGAATGGTATCATTCGGAAGAAAACAGTTGAATGTGGTTCAGGATAATCTGGCCGCGGGTACAGATTTTACGTGCGTCAACAACGTAAACGAGACAAAACAAAATTGTGCATACGTTTTCTCTGTTTTTTTCCCTCCAAATGTAATATATCCGCTGATCTGAAACGTCAATTTAATTTGTATGCACCGTTCCTAAGATTTTGAAAAATTCGGCTGTTTCAAACTATATTAAACAACAATATATTCCTTTCTCCATTGTACTATTAAGCAACGGCGACTGAGCTACTTCTTCCGTGTAATTGAGCAAGTTGACTGAAAACATTTTCAAGAAATAGAAATCTTTCATCTTGTATTCAGCTCGTTCGTCTGGTTTTTCCTTGTCCAAGGGTTATTTGAGGGTGGCTGGGAAAAAAGAAGGACCAATTTACAATTTATTGGAGAAATTGATGATCGGTGCAAACTGTGCTATCAATAATAATTCACACTGCAATACCATTAGACCGATATATTGAATTGATGTGAATAATACCATGCTCTTTTTGCAGTCATCTAAAATCATAAACGATTGGACGACTTCTTGCGTATGGCGTGCACAGCCTATCGAGCCTAGAGTTGTCGGTCAAGGGTAGAACAAACGAGATTTCCCGAGATCATGTTATGAGACTTTTAATAGGCATCTCGTATGGAGACTTAAACGTGTTCAATAGTGTTTAAGGGGGGGGGGGGAGGGGGGAGTTTTTTCCTAGGTAGTTGTGTCCTTACTGCATGCGTGGCTGATACGTGGTAGTCTGGCCTAGTGGTTGGAATTTTTTATCCAATGTCTTGGATATATGTTATCGTTACAGGTTCACAAACATTTCTCATTTTAAATACCCCCCCCCCCCCCCAAAAAAAAACACTTGTGGCGATAAAAAAGTTACTTCAGGGACGCAATGACTTTGTTTGCCCTTAAAAGAAAATAAGAGGAATGTAAAAAGATAATTGACAATAAAGAGTAAGTAATAAAGACCAATACTCATGTAGAATAATCTGCAGTATCTCAATGTTTGATGTCAATATTTTCTTGTCTTTGAAACTCTTACGCAGGTCAGGCTCTTCATTATAATTTGGGGGTTAACCAATGGTTTTCGGTTTTACATGTATGATTCAAACTATTACAGGACTGAGACCGCGAATTTGCTAGATTAACGTCCTAAATCCCCTCCAAAAAGTTAAAGAGGTTGTGGAATGCTCGAAAACATTTCCGTCATTTTTGGGTATATGTAGCCTAAGGTGTGATGAAATAAAAACGACTATTGTTTCTGTCATGAAATGAGTACAAAAGGTACTTTTGAGAGCTGTTCTTCAAGTCCTGTCATGATGTCTGCCCAAACCTGATGTTTTTCTTTCGCTCGAGGGGGAATGGGGGGTACGAGCGAATGTTTTTCTCAGCTACCTCACGTGACAGGCACAACCTCGTATGTCACATGTCATCCACCTCATCAAAAAAACCCGACAAAACCACGGTCATCTTTGTGGCTTCCAAAACTGCAACCTGTCTTTCCCAACAGCATATCAGCTGGCAAAACACAAGAAAACTGAAGGTCACCAGTGCAAAAGAGGAAGACCGATAACTTCACGCCGTCACTGAACTAGACACACATGTAGGGCCTACAGGGGTATACATGTTCATGTTCAAGTATATGTACATGCAAGTGCATGTACATGTACATGTTCAGTTTTTTTTATTAATCGAAATTAGGGGGGGGGGGGTGGGTGGGTCAAAATAATTTGGGAAAAAAAGTCGAAATTTTTAAAACATTGAAAATTCTGAATGGCAAGGGGTGAACCTTGTATTTTAGCAAAATTTGTCAATATCAGATTTGTAGGAAAAATCTAAAATTGTAAGGATTAAACCTTGCTTTTTTTGCAAAATTTGGTGCATATTTTACTAAAATTGGGCAAAATCAGATGTTCCTCAAAAATTCCAGATGTAATAGATTAACCTTACTTTTTTGTAAAATTGGGCAAAATAAGATGTTGATGAAAAATTTCAAATGGAAAGGGGTTAACCTCGCATTTGTGTAAGCGAAAATGGGAAAAAAATCAAATGTTTCTGGAAAATTGCAGATTGTAAGGAGTTAAAACCTGCTTTTTGAATAAGATTGGGAAAAATTAGATGTTCATTTAAAAAAATAAATTGTAAGGGGTTAACCTTGAATGGTTGGTGTGTGTTTTGTAATTATGGCAATAAATAAGTGTATTACTTGTAACTACACCCACCCTTCATCGTATGACCCTTTTCCTGCGGTTTCTTTTCCTAGAAGTTTGAACGTCATTTGCCTTTTAAATGAGACATCAAAAAGGTACCCTCATGATTAGTTTTGTGATAATTATATAGGCCTGGACCTACTTGAAATTTCGAATTATCAAACAATAATGCAGTAAAACTACACTACAACGAACACCGCTATAACAATCATGTGGCTACCACAAACATTCCCTTTAATGTGTATATTAAATTGTTTTATAGGTTTCCAGGCTATTTTAAAATGTTTATCATTCGAATTCACCGTTTCAAATATTCAAATGCATCCATCAACATCGATTTAGTGCACTTCCAATGTTTGATTTCGTCTTTTGTCCGACAATTTCAAATGCACTTCAAGCAAATTCAAACACGTTTTCGTCCCGGAGTATTCCATTTCGTCTCGCCTACGCCAAACCTTGTTATTCAGAAATCAATTTCGTCTAATTTATTTATACAGGCTAAGACGAATTCGATCTCTGAATGCTGCCCTTCTTAAAATGTTAGACGAATTTGATCTGTAAAGACGAATATTTGCGACCCTGTGACTAAAGAGGGTGACCAAATTTTGAAATTGAATGGCAAATGACTGAATTGGTTTGCTAAAAGCGTGCTATTTGTTTCTCGGACGAAATTGAATGTGACAGTTGGTGAATTTGAATGAAACATGCTTTAAAATAGCCGGGAAAACCTATATAATTCGCAAACACTACAACGAACGACCACTACAACAAACATTTTTGACAGACTCCGTCATGTTCATATAATGTGACGTTCTAGGTAGAGCCCTTGTACAACCTATGGGCGTCGCGGGGGGGGGGGGGGGCAAGGGGGCAGGGGCGTAACTGGGGTGAAACATCTGGGGGGGGGGAACCTGGGGAAGCACACATTTGTTCGAGAGGGCAACGAAAAACTGCCGCTTGCCTTTTTCGTTTTTGGACTGATAAAGGCCAATCTACGTGCATGCATATAGTCCAAGCGCTTATTTCGATAGCGCGGTGTATAATGTTTTGTTCATTTCAAGGTTTCAAATGGGGGGGGGGGGGGGGGGGATCCGGGGGCATGGGCAACCGAAGTGGGAGAAAGGAGAAAAAGACCAGTAAAAGAGACTCGAGGTCATACTGCAGTTTATTTAACTGGTTCGGAGGGAGCGTGGGGGTAAATGTCCCTGCGCTGCCCACCCTCGAAAAATGATAACTCGAGAATATGCTGGAAGAGTACAGGTATTTCGGGAGGAAATGTGCTTTTCCCTGGCGACGCCCATGCCTATACTAAATCAAGCAGTGGCGTAAATTTGTGTAGAGAAGGTACATGACGATATAATAGTCATAAACTTAGTGCTCTGATTTTGCTAATTCGAAAAGCGCGGGGTTGGGGTAGGGGTGGATAGGGGTGGGGGGGAAGGACAAACACATGATTGCACGTTCATAATTGCAGTCTTGGGCATACATTATTCCGACGCATTGCGTGTGCATGCTTTAAGTCCGTGAATCTTACTTAAGAATTTAAGCAACTTAAGAAATCCCATTTCGCAGTTGTCTCAGTCACTCCTACATATCCCACACTTCAAACCTTTTGCACTCGAAATTATGATTAAACCTCTCCCGGACTAATATTGCCAATTCGAAAAGCGCGGGGTTGGGTAAGGGTGGAGGGGGGGGGGGACAGCCTTGCATGTTCATAATTACAGTCTTGGGCATACATTATGCCGAGGTATTGCGTGTGCATGCTTTTAGTCCGTGAAACTATTGCATAACTTTTTTCATAAAAAAAACCTGTTAATTTCGTCTCCTCTGACAATATTAATCGAAAGTTTCCGCAAAAACAGCTGTTGAAAAAGAGCCCGATGTCGAACTTTACTGAGTCTGAGGTCTATCGAACTCCCGAAGATTCGCTGACAGTCTATATTTTTCTTTTTAAGAAAGTCGAAGTAGTTGAAGGCGGAGGTGAGAATCTATATGTGCCGAGATACAAGGAGTAAAAATATACGCGCCTGCCTTTTGAAATACACAATTGCTGTGTTCATTGTTGTGTAATGATCCACCTAGCACACGGTTGTTTTGCACATTAGGCTGTGGTATACAACTTCCTAACAAATCAAACACACTGGGCTCATTATTCCTCGAATATCGACTTGTTTTCGCCCATGGAGCTAAAGCAAATGGACCAAGTAATCTTCCTGGCGCATTTGCTCACCTATAAAGACAACTTTCCTCAGTTTAAAGAGAATTCTAAGGTAACGAAATGGCCGAGTGGTTACGATTCGTCGTCCACAGTTAGCGGGGTCCCGGGTTCGAATCCCGCTGGTGTCTTTTTGGTTTTTAACGTATGAGTTCAATTATTTACTTTAAGAGATTTAATTTTCCGTCGTAGAGTACCAACAGTACCTTAGCTTAATCGGTAAGTACTGCTGCTGGTACTGTCCGCGAGTTCCAGGTTGGCGCCTTCGTACAGGTTCAGGGCATGTGGTCCACTCGGAGGATCAGGGCTTAGGGGCCGCCCTGTTCCTCCCTTAGCTCTTTGCTTTTACATGGTGCCTGGCCCTCCGGGGTTATATGGATGGATAGGGAAGGAAGTGTGTATTGGTCGGGGACGCCGAGACCCCGGAAGAGAACTAAGGGATCGGCTGGGGCATTGTTATGGCTCAGACCGATCCCTGAAAGCTTGACTAGCACATAACTTTTAGATTTTTTTTTACCCTCTATCTTTATACTTTGGTTTAGTTTGATATCTACAGCTGCTCGGCAGGTCTACGGGTAGTATCAAAATTGAAACAAAGGTGTATGTCATAAATCAATGAATATTTCATAATTGACTATAATCAAAACGGAGTTTCGTTTGATCAATTTGACTATCATTATATAATGACGCGATTGCCAATTGACGTAAGAATTATACCGGGAAAGAATAAAGATGTACATTGTAATATAAATTTTATTAATACATCTTTCAAATAACGTGTCTTTAATTGTGAGCATTCCAAACAATACAGTAATTCGCAATAGTAATAGAATGGTATATGATAGCACGATCATTGCGTCTCTATTAAATTTAAAAAATATAATTTAGGCCCCTATGTGTGAAATATTCTTTTGATTGACTATGATCATTCCATACGAATGAGTTAATTCGCAAAATATAGCAACAACAAAAGAGAAAGGAAAAAGAGAAAATTCCTTTACCCTAAAAACTGGAAATATAATTTGTTTTAAAAAAGTCAAATGGGACACTTCATGTATTGATTTAACAGTTTGCAAGGAGTTAACCTTACATTTTAGCAAAATTGGGAAAAATCAGATGTTTCTGGAAAATTGCAGATTGTATGGGGTTAGATGTTTATGAAACATTTCAAAT